GTGTTTGTATTTTATTTTATTTTATTTTATTTGTTTATTTAATTTTGGCCCCAAGGGGTTTTCTTGGTGGTTTTGCTTGAAATACCATGCTGAAATATAATTGAGCGTATCTCAGTATTTACAAACTCTACTTAAATAATCTTGGTGTCAAAATAAAGCTAACACTTGGGAGATTCTATTAGAAGTGTAAATATTAAAACAGCTGCTGTGGTTTTAGAGATATTGGGGATGGAACGTAATTTTTTCACTTTTTTTTCCCTCTCGTCTGAATATTTCTTTCATTAGACAGTATATATCCTATTTAAATCCATAATGATTCAGGCTAAAAACTGTTTTGACTTACTTTAAAAACAAATGCCAACAGTTATTCCTTTACAGATTTGTTGTAATGTATTTACAGATTTGTTGTAATGTATTTACAGATTTGTTGTAATGTATTTACATATTTGCAACAATCCCATTTTGTACAGTTTGTTTACTTTCTGATTCAGCTGCCTGTTGTTTGAACTGTGTTTGATGGATGTAAATATAGTATCCACAAGATTTAGCTTTCTATTGATACTAAACATGCCAAGCTTCAACTTCTTCGATCTTAAGTTAACAGAAACTAAATTATGTAAAAAAACAGGAAAGGCTGGGCTCAAGGGGTTAAATAAATATATTTTGAGTGACCTGTAGTTGGCTATTCTACCTGTTTTATGTACCTATAGCCTTCAATGTGACATGCAAACTGGATAGCAAAAAATGGGATTTCAAAATCCAGGTAATTTTATCCAGATTACAGTTTTTGAACAACTGGCCTTCAGTCTTTACTCTGGTCTGCACTCAAACCTTTTTCGGTGATCCTCCAGTCGCGGGACAAAGACAGGTGCGTCAGAGACTTCAGGCCTCGAGCCACRGCCTCCACAGACCTGCTGGTCAGCTCGGTGCAGCCGCTGATGTCCAGTTTCAGGAGGCCCGGCTGGTGCTTCACCAGAATCTCCACCGAGTAGTCGGTCAGCTCTTTGCAGCCCTGAAGATACAACTCCTCCAACACCAAACCCTGAACCTTAAAGAAGGCAGAGCTGGTGTGAGCGTCTGTTTCTTCGGAGTTAGGAGCTGAGATTGTGGACCAGAAAGCTTACAGCGTTTGCTGACCTGTGCGATGGTGCGCAGCGACTCGGGGGTGATGGAGGTCCTGCTGATGTCCAGGACTTTCATGGTGGACCTCTGCTCCGTCAACAACCTCTTCAGGTTCCTGAGCGACAGCAGAGCCGAGGAGTCCTTCACCACGCCCACCGGGCACACTCGATACGGGTCGAACTCGAAGGCGATGTGGCAGCCGGCCAGCGAGAGGCGGCGGAGGTGTGGGGTGCAGCAGGTGAGGCGGTTGAAGGTGAGGTCGGACAGGTAACGCAGGTCCGACAGATCCAGGTCCTTCAGACCGCTCAAAGCTGACCTGACCTGCAAGACGAGCGTGGACTACATAATCAAAACACTAACACACACATACACCGCCGCCATCTTGGTCAGGAAATAACCTGCGTCACCTGCTGTCTGTGCTCCTCTCTGGACAGAAAAGCTCCAGACATGAAGAGACTGTCCAGGCCTCGGAGGTCCAGCCTGCGAAGAGACGTGAGACGAGGGAGGAGAGCCAGCAGAGACGCCTCCGTGATGCTGCTGCCAGGGAGGGCCAAGCTCTCCACCCTGGAGCCCAGAGACACCCCCACCTGAGGGGAGGGGGGCAAAGAGACAAATCAAACACAAAGACGAGCTGAACTCAAAAATAGGTCAAACTAAGAAAAGTTTAAAATATATTAAAAGTATTTATAATTTACTTGCTCTACTTTTGCCTTTTTTATGCTAATTTTAGGTTTTAGCGACTGTTCTGCTACTTTTACCTTTTCCTAGCCTTTTACTACTTTTAGCTACCGCTACTCATGTCTTGTAGCTAAGCTTTTGCTTCGTTAAGTTGTTGGTAAGCCTTTTGTCCCTTTTAGCTAACAGTTTCAGTACTTTAGATTTTGGCTAACTTCGTGCTACTTTTAGGTCCAAGTTAAGTTTTTGCAGCTTTTTGCTAAAACGTTTAGTTAGTGATTTGTTACTTCCAAGTTTTAGCTGTAAGGGTTTAACCTTACCTTCTTATAACAATGTTATAAGGAATTTATTTCGGCAAGGATCTCTTTATTTTCTGTAAAATATTCTTCCAGTGCAAAGTGAATGGACAAACAACAAGTTATGTGAGTCAGTGAATTTAGATTTGATCCATAAATAAATGCGATCATTTATTCTACAAATCAGACAAAATCACTACAGTACACTTAATTGTGAGCAATCAATTTCCTACAAAAGTTTAGAACCAATAATAAGAGCTTTGAGCTTTGTTAATTGTCAACAAACACTTGAATAGAACACAAACGTCAAGATCTGATGTTCAATACCAGACATTTGAGGCAAATAACTTAAGTTTGGCAAAGTAGGTTTTAAGAAAAGGGAGGAAAGTAAGGTGTTAGCTTTCCTAACTTTTAACTTAAATAATGCGGGTTACCCAYRGAGGCAAGGCGTTCTCTGCTTGGCGTCAGCCAGATAGCGAAGTTCATAACAGCCAGCTTTCCCTTAAAAGATGAGGCCAGTCACCTGTCCAGGTATTGGGGTCTCTACTTCGAAAATCCGTTTTGGACCGTCAACAGAGATGGATCCTCAAGGCGTGTTATTCAGACTCGTGTACATCCGCGTCAAGCCGTAGGAAGAAGGGCGAAGCCAACTGGATCCCAATTTCAAAATAAAAACTTCCGCCGGGAAGATTTTTAACAAGTTGGATACACCAGGCGTTTGGTCGTATCCGGGCTGTACAGCTTCCCCGTTGGCGATAAAGKGGTAGAGCCGACACAGCTTAGCTCATATAACATAACTGAAAGAATGAATTGCTTCAAATTCAAAACATTTGCAAATATGATTCAGTAAAACATTGATGCTTCATCAACTTTAAACTAGGGCTGCAACTAACGATTATTTTAATAATCGATTAATCTGTTGATTATTTTTTCGATTAATCGGCCAAATCATTAAAACGCTTAATTACATGAATGAGTAGATATAAATTAAGTTAACTCCTTAAGGATGCAAGTTATTGATAATGAATTAATCTGAAGTTGATTTATCTTATAGATTGATTAACAATTAATTAATAAGCAGCCATTTAAAAAAACAGAGTTTTCTCTTGAATCAAGAGGGGCTTCCCATAAAATGAAGGATGTTTTTATAATCTCCTGAATTAAAAAACAGAAGCACATAATACATATTTTAACAATTTATTTTGCCAGCTGTATTAAATACTGACTGAAAAAAATGTGTATTTCTCCTACATGAAACATAACAGAAATTTAATACGTTGCTGAATGAGGAAAATAGATTAAAATAATAAAATATGATTTTTAGATGTAAAACTCTTATTAATTTATTATAATTAGAATTTATTTACATTTAACATTTATTTTTTTCTCTAATTCTTTACTTTTTGTTTCATTCTTGTTGGTTCTGTTTGACTRAAACATTGTTTGACCCTAGGGCTGCCACAATTAGTCGACTAATCAGATCATACGTTAATTGAATACAAAACATAGAGCTTATCGTGCCAGAATGCAGCTGCTATTATATAASCATCGTTAGATTTTAGCTATATGCTAACTAAAAATAACTGCTGTGGAAGACAAGTTCTGCTCTGCAGATATTGCACAGGTTTCTCTTTCATTTTCTTAAAAAGATCCCACACTTTTGAGCTCCGTTGCTGGGTAGCCATGATACCAGAGCCTGTCTGTATAATGTCTTGTGACGTCCACGGCCTACCCCAGTTACCACTACTGTGCATGTGTGTCAAGGACAGAAAGGYAGATGTGGCAGTGGAAGGTGTCAAAGCAGTTTGGAGAGAAAAACAAAGTAAAGAACAAAAAAAAAAGAAAACGATTAATCATTGCAGCCTACTTTAAACCATAAAGATTAGTTTAGTTAAATAAGATTTTGCACAGAAAATCCATACATAGCTGAAATCATACTGAGGGAGAAACGAGATCTGTCCTCTTTTCTCCTGTAACTTTGATAAACATTCTCGGATTATCAAAATGCCTAATAAGAACTTTCAGTTAAGAGAACAATAAATCAAATAAGAAGAAGATTCTTCTGTTTATTATCTGATTAAAAAAGAGAATGTCTCTTTGACAAGTTAAGGCAACCTGAGGTGGCCTAAATTCAGTTCTAAGTGGAACAGAGTTTTTGTCCCTTTAAAGACCCATCAGAGGTCTGAGGTCCAAGACAGTTTCCTTAATAATTTCACTCGAGGTGACCCCTACGTAGCTAAACGTACGTTGCTTTTCGCTAATGTTTTGATACTTCAGATTTAGGCAAAYGTCTTGCAACCTTAAGGTTTTAGCTAAACATCTGTTGATTTTAGCTAAAGTTTTAATACTTTAGATTTAGGCTAACCTCTTGCAACCTTTAGGTTTTAGCTAAATGTCTGTTGATTTTAGCTAACATTTTGATACTTTAGATTAAGGCTACTCTTGCAACCTTTAGGTTTTAGCTAGACTTTTGTTGCTTAGTGCATTGATACTTTGAACTTACCTCTTGTTACTTTTAGGTTTTAGCTAAACTTTAGCTGATTTCTGGCTAGCATTTTGATATTTATGGTTTTTATCTAGAATTTGATTCTTTTATCTTGTTTCAGCTTGTTCCTCATTTTAAAATGACCAGATTATGACAAGTTTCACCTCAACTTTTAACATCAGACTAAATCRTTGTCAACATGTACGACCGTTTCTCCCATTTTCCAAGAATGTTTTATGACTTGATGACGTGCAATAAAGTTAATTTAATATTTAACACCTGAGMGTTCACATGCAAACAACTCACCTGAGTGTAATAAGGGAGAATGAGGGTAAAGTATAAAAAGGAACTATCGGGGCTGGTCTAACCTTTGAACCATGATGTATGGATCTTTAGCATTTTAATACCTCCTTTAAAAAYGGCCCTGCTAATCAGTCATAGTTAATGTGCACATTTAAAACATTTAGGGAGCCTTGAAGGCAGTGAATCCTCTTAACTTTTGTAGAACGATCTGACTGGTTGTTTGGGGTTTTTTGAGTTCACAGACAGAAACAGACTTCATATTACGTTTCATGTTAGCATCATACAGCACCTCCAGAAGGAGTGATCTGGAAATACTGAAGCCATCCAGCTGGCTGATCCTCAGGCTGCAGCGAGACTTCCCGACCAGACCCCTGACCAGCTCCAGGGACGAGGCTGAGGCCGGGAAGCTGTAGGTGACATTCTTCTGCACAGAGACACAGACGTGGAGGCAGCGTTAAGCTGCACCCTCTTCARTTCATGCAGTGTGGATGTAGTTTGGAGGAAAGTACCTGAAAACGTAGGTCCTGGCTGGCAGTGTACCAGCTGTGGCAGACCAGAGAGGCTTCCTTCCTGTCTGAAGCATGAAGAAAACTCAGGATGTAAACTATAATCTGTAGCAAAAGATGGAAATATGTCATTAGATTCATTGTAAAATGATGTTCATCCTGCTTAAGTCACGCTACTTTCTGAACTGACAAGCAGAATCATGTGTTTTACCAGAATTAAGCACAAATGTTTGTATTCAAATAAAAGTAAACCCACCTCCTGTGGAAGCTCAGGTGCTTCTTCCCCATCACTGTCTTCCATTTCTGTCGGTGTATTATTAGAAATCACCTCCGACCATCTCAACCTGATGATCTCCTCACTGCAGCTAAAATCCTGCTCTGAAACTTTAGCTTTTTTAGCTAATTCCTACAAACTAAAATGTCGTCTACTTGGCTCATCCTCACCTCTTCTTTATTTATTAAAATAAACAATTCCAAGTTACTGGACGCTGCTGAGAAGCTGTTTGGTCCATTGACATCTTAACAAAAGCTGCTTTTACTAATAAACACCGAGACGCAGCACATTTCCGCAGGCGGGCTGACAGCAGGATCAGCTGACTGCGAGAGAGACGTCAGACGCGTCAGGGGCGTGGTTTTAGTGAGGAAGCCTGGGTTCGTTTCTGATTGGTTGTTCCGTTGCTAAGCGATCTCTGACAGCTTGGCTTTCAGCATAAATAAAGGAAAAAGGGAGTTTTTCGTTTTCGTTTTTTTTCCCAATTCGATCACATTTTCCTGTTTTCCTAAACTTTTCTGTATCTTGGTGATATGTGTGTGAAAATACTAACAAATATTACATAACATTTGTGTGTTTTTTTCATTGGCACAAGGATAAATTATGCTGCGATTATAAAATGATGCTAATCAAAAATATAAAGTACTAAAAACTCAGATTAAACTAATTTTTACCTTCTTAAACGTTTTTAAAATATTTAAACCAATAAAATATTGTATGCAAGCCCTTTTATTTTATTTAGTTATAAACGTGTGAAAATACTAACAAATATTACATAACATTT